AGAAACAATTTTTATTTTAATATGAAATGTAATCATTTATCTTCCATAAAAAACTGAAATAAAGAAACTGAATGTGTGATAACAAAATAAAAACTCTTTTTTTACAAAAAACAAAATTTTAATGCTAACTCAGCATTAGAGGAGGTGCTCTATGTGATTGCCATTCACTCTCACTCTTTCAAATACACCTGGCTGGTCAGAAATTTGCCGACACGCATGGAAAATGCGATCCTGCAGTGTTTGGATGTCATCAACGGGTGTTAAATACACCAAGGTCTTTAAGTGTCCCCATAACCAAAAATCTCCTCTAATGCTGAGTCAGCATTAAAATTTTGTTTTTTGTAAAAAAAGAGTTTTTATTTTGTTATCATACATTCAGTTTCTTTACTTCAGTTTTTTTTATGGAAGATAAATGATTACATTTCATATTAAAATAAAAATTGTTTCTTTATCTCTCTTTATTAATTTTTTATTTTTTAAGGCATCTAGAAAAAAGATATCCCCATTGTACCCCACTCTTCCCTACTCCTTTGTTCATTACATTCTAAAGATGACACGACTAATAAGAAAATGACAAAGAGCTCAAATAACAAAATAGCTTGTATCTTAGAAGATATTAGTCTTAGGACCCATGTTAATTAGAACTTTTCTTCTTGTTTTGATCAATACTACCTGCTATCAAAATATGTGACCCTTTTTTTTCAACACCCTGTATATATATAAAATCTGTTCCTAGAAACAATCCCTAGAAATAATTCTTAGAAATATATATATATATATGTATGTATATATATATATATATATATATATATATATATATATATATATATTACATGCTATTTAATATCTATATCTCTCTCTCTTTATCTCAATGTGAAACGAGTGATTGAATTACGTAAGTCTCATTTTTATGCTCCTACATGATGTCAGTTGATGAAAGTACATGTACAATAGTATCCATATGTAATGCCGAAATTCGAAAACTTGCTTAAACACACGTATACCGTATGTATATTATTTGTGTGTGTGTGTGTGTGTATTGCGCGCCATTCAAATTTTGAAGTAAAAATCAAAACTTGTTTCCTTTTAAATTAAAATCTTTTAATTTGTAGACTTCTAGAAATATTCTATACAGACAAAAGTAAGTATTTTAGTCCATGGAGTTCGATATATCATGGAAGCATTTACAATTAAGCATTATTGAATTGGAAAATTATAGTTTTAGAAGTAAAAGTTCAATATTAATATTAGCCATAACCTCTGAGACTATTTTTTTAAAATATCGCTTTATCTATATAGCATAGCTAGAGTCTGACAAGCAACAAAATGTATTTGAACACTTTGAATCAAATTCGTACAACAAATGATCCAAAATTCGTGATGAGTACTATAATAGGATATGACATCCGTGGAAAATATTTAATTATGAGCAAAAGGAAATAAAGAAGGAAATAACAAGATGGAAATAAAGTAAAAAAATTACAAACAAGCAACAGAAAATATGTTACAAAATTAAGATTTTCATCAGAAAACTCTGTTTTCAAAAAACTAGTTTCTCTTGTAAATGTTAACAATATTATAATTTAAATGATATTCAAAACTCATAAAAAATATATAGAAAAACATCTGAATAAATTTTACTAACCAGTGTATTTAAGTCTTGCTCATCAAAAACTGGTTTAATCGGTTCAGAAGAAAGTTCTTCCACTGTTTCAGGACTTTCTGGAATGCACAATATCGTACGCAGTTAATTTTTCTTTCCTATTCTTATAATTAATTAACTCATTAGTTATGGGCAGATATACGAAGTTCGAAGACAACTAGATAGAAGAGACCTTGTCGACCAAAATCTTCCTCGTCCGTATCCATATCCAGGAATTCTCGATGAGGATCCACCGGTGGCTTATCTGCTCTCGTTTTTTCCATCTTTTGCTCTTTCTTGTTCGGCATGTCGAGAACAATGCAATAATTAATTATCTTATCGATACAGTAATGGCAAGTGCATCCAATGTTCGGGTTGAACAACGCAAATCTATCAACGATAATTTGCGTAATAGAATGGTTGCTAAGTGATGTTGTATTCATAAACGTATTCATAGCGAGAATCATCGGGGTCTGTAACAAGATATGGTCGACAACAAGACGATGATCTTATCATTAAAAATGAAGTCTTATCATTAGACGATAATTCTTTAAAAAAAATTTTAAACATTTGCGAAGCTTACACAAGTCATGCAGTTATAAAACGAAGTTGTAATACACGTGATATTTATCGTTTCAGCGGCACCAATTCAATATTGCACGATGGTTCAACAGGTTTTCATTGGTCCATTGATTCACACAGATAACAATGGGGAATTAATTATTATTCAACGCAGTGCTATATTAGTTGAAGATGGCAAGGTATATACTTAATATATTGCATACATATAATTCTTTACAGTAATTTAACGAAATAATTTCATTCTGAAAAGAGAAATAATTTCATTCTGAGAAGAGAGTGTTAATCAGTGTATTTTGCAATGTTGCAGATTAATACCATAATAACAAACGTTGACACGTCAGCAACAGAGAGTTATAATACTGCCGATGAAGTTTTTATTTTAGATAATGGACAATTTCTGATACCTGGATTCATCGACTGTCACACTCATGCAGTTCAGTTTCCAAATCTCGGAATGGGCTATGACAGAAGTCTCTTGGACTGGTTGGAGACTTACACCTTTCCATTAGAAAAGAGATATAGCGATATAAATTTTGCAACACAAGTTTTTGAAGCGTCTGTGGTACGAGAAATAATTTTATTAGGTAGAACTAAGTCAAAATAATTTTGAAGCCTTACACATTGTTAGGAATTTTATTACAGAAACAAACTATCAATGCGGGCACAACGACAGCGTGTTACTTTGCATCCTTGTACGCTGAAGCGTCCATGATTCTCGCACAAAAAGCCATACAGTTTGGTCAACGAGCTTTCGTCGGAAAAGTGAACATGAACCTTTCGCGCGATGATGGATATTACGAAACTACCGAAGCGTCGATTAGAAATACTGAAAATTTCGTGAAAGAAATTGAGCAATTAGGGGTAAGTACTACTTTATAACTTATTACTTGTACATCGTGATAACTTAATTAATATAAATTATATAGGAAATCGTGAGTTGCATAAGCGAAAGAACTATTAATTAAAATTTCTTGTAGAGTCCACTTGTAAAAGCGATTATTACACCGAGATTTGCTTTGAGTTGTGACATGGAATTGATGCAAACACTAGGAAGGATTGCTCGAGAAAAGAATCTGCATATACAGGTATTTTGTAATGACACTCGCGTGCATATGTACCAATGATAATATTATACCAATAATACACTATGATATATACCAATGATAATATTATACCAATAATTACACTATGATATATCTTTCTTTTCTCGTAGAGTCATGTTTCCGAAAATAAAGACGAAATAAATGCAGTAAAGAAATCTTTCGCACAACAATCTTCATATGCCGCTGTTTATGATGCCGCTGGGCTTCTTACACCTAAGGTATATCTTATTTAACTACTTTATTAAATATTATATAGATAATATAAGAGAAACCATATTAATAAAACAATATGGTTCCTTTACTATCGTTTCTCTACTTTTTATACATACACATAATACATACCTGATTTTCCTTTTACAGACGATATTGGCGCATGGAGTTTACCTTACAGACACTGAGCTCACTTTGCTTAAAACACGTGAAACGGCTATAATTCACTGTCCATCTTCTAATACGTATTTGAGGAGTGGTTTCTGCGATGTACAAAGGCTAAGAGCTAAAAAAATTAAAGTCGGCCTCGGGACAGGTACCGACAAATCACGATTATAAACGTTTTATTAAAATAACGCGTTTTATCTATTATTAAAATAATACTTTAATAATAAATTAAAAAATATATATAAATGTTAACACAAACTTAATAATACTAATTCATTATTAATAACATTCATTACGTTAAAATATCTTATGTCCTCTCAGATGTTTCAGGTGGATCAAATTACAGCATGCTGGATGCAATGAGGTCAGCTTTACAAGTGTCATACCACTTGTCGATGTTGAAAGATAACTATACACCACTCAATTATAAAGATGTCTTTCATATGGCGACTTTAGGAAGTGCTAATGGTAAGCTTTTATATCATATTTGTAGTATATGTATATATTTATATATATCTTCTTTTTTTATAATTAAACAAATACATTTTTAGCACTTTCAATCGATGATAGAGTAGGTAATTTATTGCCAGGCAAGGAATTCGACGCTCTCATCATAGATTTAAACGCAAGTGGCAGTATATTTAATGGCCTAAAGGACACTGGATACACACTTGAGGAAAAACTCCAAAAATTTATATTTTCCGGTGATGACCGTAATATAGTATCAGTATATATAAGTGGTAGAAAGGTTAAATAAGTTTTCCACTTTTTTATGCTTTAAATAATTTTATACATGACATTTACTAGAACAGCAAATAGCTGTAATAAGACAAGCTCCATAAATACTTGTAACAAAAAGTTTATTACAGTATCTGTAACTTTTAACTTTTTCTATGTATTATTCTGTAAATAAATCACGTATATTTTAGTTTTATCTAAAATGTGAGATGCATGGGTATGTATAAATATATATCAACAAAAGAAAGTACCTTATTCATTTCCAGAAATGTGCGTATACTCCTTAGAGCTTGTTGGAATGCTTTCTCAAATCCTGCACTACCAGTGTCCTATTATTAAAAAAAGATCAAACTGTTAATTAATTTTACATAAAAAATAAGAATACTGTTTTTCATGTAATATCTTATACAATGCATACAAAAAGAGGATCTCTGATGATGATTTCTCCAGCAGGATCATATTTCCCAAGTAGTTCAATTGCTGCTTGGCTATCTTCAGGTTGCATCATGCATAGCCTATGAATATTATATTCGTCCATTCCAAATATCCAATCAAATTTGTAAAAATCGCTTACTGTAATCTGAAATAATCAGTGATAATTATAATTAAATTAATTTTATCTAATAAACAATCATACTGACTTTTATCATACTGATTTTATCTAATAAAAAATTATATTGAGACTGACAGATATTAAAGGATCAAAATTAACTCACTTGTCTTGCGACGTGAGAATAATTCGTAATCCCAGCTTTCCATAGAGTAGATATTGCTCTGGGTTCAGGACCATTGCCTACGTGATATCCCAAAATAGCAGCACTTTCAACTCCCCAGACATCAGACAAACCCATTTTTCGTACTTCGTCTCGAAACGCTGCTTCTGCCATAGGAGAACGACAACTGTTTCCTGCGAAAAAATTTATACGTGATTTTTAATATGGAAATATCATCATTATAGGGGAAAATATGATTTTTTTTAAATATATTAGGAAACTTTGCAGATCTATCAATAAAATTATAATTTTGTGTATCTGTGATGTTATAATATCCAAAAATCTAACAATATTTTATACTATTATTAATTTCTCAATTTTGTTATTTTTTATACTATTATTAATCTCTTAATTTTGTTCAATTTAACAAACTCCTATCAACTAGTAAAATGTCATAAAAAATATCTTAGGCAGAGTTTTATAAAAAATTATAGTTCTATAAATTATATATATCTGCTTTATACATTATATAATATTTAAAAATAGCATTATCCATAACCTCAAAGATATTGAGTTTTCTATTTTTTAAAGAGGAAAGTTAAATAATTACTTATGATTTTCCTTATTATAGTGATTTCTTAATTTAATTGTTTCTTTCTTTCTAAAGAAGAAAAAGGGGAATTATTCAAATAATTTAATTTTCGCACCTTTTACCAGGAACAAATATCTAATAATTCAAGAAATTTAGTTTACAATTAACAATCGCTAAATTAAAATACCTAAGCAAACCATGAGGACTTTCTTCTTTTGTACCATGCTGATTCCTTCGAACAATTGAGAACTCTAATATCTATAAACTGATAAACTTTACAATATGTTCGTCAAATACTCTCGTAGCGTTGATATCGGTAAATAAATTTTATATAAATGTAATATTATTACAATTTATAGCAAAGACTTCATTGGGTCTTTTAAAAATACTTAACCATTTTATCGATTTATTTAACAATGAGATTCTGCCTGTGTTCCGTAATATGCATATACTCGCATTTATTTATAGTATAGTATAGGTAATTAGTATAGTATATTGCAGAAAATATCTGCATTTACATATCATGTATAAACATATTACACACACACACAAAACAGTCTTCCACCTTTTCTAACTCTAAATCCTATTGCTAAGCAATAGCAATAGGATCATAAATTTTTAACAAAGGTGCACTTACGAATTAAACTTTAATAATGTTTGTGAAAATAGAGGAAGCTATTTTAGGAAAAGGAAGTGTATATAAAATATATAACCATTGTGTATGTATTATGTATATATAATTTGCAGTCACAAAAGCATGTGCCAAATATACAAGATTTTAAAACAAATTTTGTCATAATAGATTCCTATTTATATTATACAATTTATAATTTTATTATGCAATTATATTTTAAAACAAATTATATAATAATGATAGATTGTTTTATTGTATTGAGAGAAAATTACCTTTCTAGAATTCAATATTTCATGAGAAGACACAAAACTTTATTAATTTACTAAAAACATAGTTTTTATACATCCTATTAAACTCATACTTTTTTATTACTTTACTTGGATTCGTTTGCATGTTTATTCAAAAATGCTGTTACACTCCTTAGGCATTGTACATAAGCTTTCTGAAATCCTGCATTATCACTATCCTGTAAAATAATAATAATACTAATAATAATAATAATAATAATAATAATAATACTAATAATAATAATAATATTTTGATCTTTTTCTAGCTTTACACATATTTAAGAATGAAATACATAGTAAGGATCTCGTATTATAACTTCTCCATTTGGATCATAATTTCCTAGAAGCTCTACTTTTGCCCGACATGCTCTTGGTTTTAGGTTACATAATTCTATCATGTTGTCATTATCCATACCAAATATCCAATCAAACTGATCAAAATCATCTTGTTTAATCTGTAGATATATATACAGGCAATATATAAATTTAATTATTTTCAATAATTTATAATTAATAATTCATATAAGACAGTTTTAGTTAGTCTTACTGGACACGCTCTGTGAGAATAATTAGTGATTCCATTTTCCTTTAATGTACTTAAAGCTCTATGATCTGGCATTTTACCAGTATGATATCCTATTAGAGCAGCACTTTTTACTTCCCAACTATTTCTTAAACCTCTTTTACCTATTTCACTATCAAATACAGCCTCCGCTATTGGTGATCTACAAATATTGCCTGCAATATCAAATATATAAGTGTATTTAAAATTAATAATCAGATTCTCATTACAAGTAAATCATTTCATAAATTTTATTTATTGTGTGCAAAATTTTTACCTAAACAAATCATAAGTACCCTTTTTTTCTGCGACATCTTGAAACAAATTAAAATATTTCTGTTTATAATTAAAACTTAAATTATCTTGAAAATATTTCACATACTAAAAATAATAAAAACTGGAAATATATACACAAACAACAGGTTTGTTCTTTTTAGCTGAACTGGCTGCACTAGTTCAAGTAGTGTACACTGAAGTTCTTTTTAGCAGAAGTGACGTCAAATGCGCCATTCTTTTTAGCATTAATGTAAATAATTACTTATGATTTTCCTTATTATAGTGATATCTTAATTTAATTGTGTCTCTTTCTTTCTAAAAAAGAAAAAGGGGAATTATTCAAATAATTTAATGTTCGCACCTTTTACCAGGAATAAATATCTAATAATTCAAAAAATTTAGTTTACAATTAACAATCGCTAAATTAAAATACCTAAGCAAACCATGAGAACTTTCTTCTTTTGTGCCATGCTGATTCCTTCGAACAATTGAGAACTCTAATATCTATAAACTGATAAACTTTACAATATGTTCGTCAAAACTCTCGTAGCGCTGATAATTTTTTACATTAGTACTTAGTACAAAAGTTCACTGCACTGCCTGCCCTAATAGGGTGCGTTCAGATTCCCTACCCGGGTGCACTCTGTTACTAGAAACACTATAGTATATGTTACATATACTATAGCACTTCTTGTATTAGAGTGCACCCGGGTAAGGAATCTGAACGCAGCCATAGCGAATTCGGTTGCTTGCACTAGTGTGCACTGAGTGCGCACTAAGGCTTATTCATAGTATGTTATTATATTTAAAGATTGTCTTAAATAATTCTCAAATAAATTCTCAAATATTTTTAACCATAATATGATATGTATAACATCCGTACGAATCATTTTATTAGTTAAAATGTTTTTAAATATATATTTAAGACACGATCTTAAATATAAGAATGTACTGTAAACAAGCCTTAATGCGCACTCAGTGCGCACTAGTGCAAGCTACCGAATTCGCTATAAGTCACAAGCTAGTGCAGCGGTTCAGTTCAATATGGCAGCGTACGTACTGCTAAAGAGCAGTAAACTAGTTAGGTTAAGTTAAAATAAAGTTTAAATAAAGTTTAAATATTTGAACTTTTTAACCGTGAAAATAATTATAGATAGAAATAATATGGAGAAAGAGGAGGATATTGCATATATAAAAAGGGATGCAGGCGGAAACATTTTAGTTGACATAAATAGATGTTACGTGTGAATCAAAAAGTATAAAAATTATCTATCTAATTATCTGAATATATGTTATTGAATAGTCTATTTTTTATTGCTGTACTCCATGCTACACACTAGCTTGTATTCTCTTTTCTTCTTATTTTTTTAATGTCTCAACTATACATTGTTTCTTTTCAGATTCCAAAAGTGTACACTAATTCAACAATAAAAAACATCTTAAATATCAATAGTTGTTTAATGGGTATGTTCAGCAGAAAAAACAGTTTAGTAAGTGATTTACGCTGCACTTTAAGAGCTTTATAATTGTGAGATTTTCTGGTAAACAATCCTAACGGTTTATGTTTCTTCAAGATGTTTATTAAGTGATTACCATTTTTTCTAGTATACTTTTAATATACTAAATTATTTAACAAATATATTAAAAAACGTTAACCGTTAGAATCATTCAGCAGAAAATCAACCATTTCGAATAATGTGGTGCGCCATGTTTATCACTGCACTATTGCGTGCTTTTAACCTCTCTGTACTTTTGTACCAGTGCAACACTTTGCTGTCCTTACCAGTTCAGTTCCAATACAGCACTAGTTCAGCTAAAAAGAACAAACCTAACGTTGTATACTCCTACTCGGAGGATTATGTACTTTTTGGTAAGTTTCGGAATCTATCCGCCTTGTCCAATGAGAGAACTCTTTAGTTGGAAAATAAATTCTCTCATTGAACAAAAGGATAGATTCCAAAACTTACCAAAAAAAAAAGCCAAACAACTTGTTCGACCACAAGTACATATTAATTCTATGTAATTACAAAATAGGAAACATGCAATTTAAGATAAGAATTTAATTCTGTTGAATTTATCACTATTTTAGGCCGATATTCATAGGGTGTTTTCCAGTTGCGTATACTGTGTTACACAAAACCAGGGGGTCGATTATGTATCTCAAATCGGAGTGAAAATGACAAAAGTGAGCAAATTTACTAACATATTTGTAACTTCATTGGACAATGCCTAGTGAATTCGCTCATTTTTGTAATTTTCACTCCGTTTCAAGATACACAATCGAACTTCAGTTTATTGATTGCATATTATCTTACAAGATATTTTAGATAATATGTGATCAATAAACTGGTTTTGATACATGTGTGTCAAGATATATTAAGCAATTGGAAAGCACCCACAGTCAGATCTAATATTTAATGGAGGATTCACTGCGTTCGATGTCCAAAATCCAATAAAAGAGCAGCTTTCTAATAGGCTTAGTTTACATCATGCACTTGATACTCGTACTAAATAGTAACTTTCTATTAGATAATCTTAATATCGATGATATATATAATCAATGGTATATTAAGCTGGTATAATACTCATCAAGAAAACGTATTGATTGAATGCATCGCCGTTGATATGCATTGTTAATATTAAGATTATCGGATATCGGACGTCGTACGTCGAACATCAGACGCAGTATGAATTTTGCATAAGATCGTCTTAAGTTCATCTTCAGATACTCCGTAGCCAACGAAATAATCCGTACAACATCTAAAGATGAACTTAAGGGCGCCGTTCCACGGAGCGGAAATTTTCAGCGGAACGGAACGTGCGGAGTTAGCACAACTAATCACAGCCGTTCCGCTTTTCTTCCGGCGCTTTTTCTATTTTCCTTGTGTCCCATGGAGCAGAATACGCGGAAGCGGATCACGCGGAATAATACAAAAAGTAGACTTCTTAATGTTATTTTTTACGTTTTTAATAATTTTAATAATGTTTTATACAAATGATATATGATAAATTAGTAAAGAGTAAAATTAATTTCTCAATAAAATACTTTTTACAAAAATATGCAACTATTTTACGATTGGCTAAAACATAATTCCGCTGCCGCGTTTACCGCTTCATGGGACAGAAGGAAAAGTACATAAGCGGAATTGCGGTAATACATTATGTAGTATAATGAAGTGAGTGAGATCTGTTGTAATTAATTATGGAGAATATATTATGTGATTTTTGTCGACTATGGCTTAATTAAACATATAAATATATAAACATATTCACATATTATACATAATTGTTTACTACATTATCAAAATATTAACATCTTATTACCCAGATAGAAAAATGTGTTCATTCTGAGCTCATATTGTATTCATGTATCTTCAAGCATGAGGACAAGAATAGACACCGATGCGGACTCATATGCGTTTCAGAATGTAGACATGTTATGATGTCACAAAAATACCTCATTTAATAATAATAATCAACATCATGTCAAGAATTTGCAACATAATTTGTACATCATTTGTGTGCTCATGTCATGAAATCACGTAATGATCTTTAAAAAAGTATTAATTGGAGTCATAATGGGCGCGTTCAGCAGATCCCAACAGTTGCAAAGCGGTTGAGCGAATGATACGTAGCGCTTAGTGATGAAAATCGTGTCTGCTGAACGGGCTGAACACGGTTTATCTCACATCTCGTCACGTGACTTCAGTGTATCTCGTCACGTGACCGCAACTTATTTGGAATATGACAGAGGTTAGATTCGATTGGTACAGCTG